CATTAATGGTAATCACGCATACAGAGGGGATCTCTGTATGTCCCCACATCAGAGTAGGGACAACATAAACCTCACATGGCTGCTTTAGGAAAAGTCACCACAACAGTACATTAGGCAGCAAAGCCAGAGCTATGGAAACAGGAGTTGCTGAGGGTAGCCTGGAAACACTCTGGCCATTTTTGGGCACTCAACTTGCCAGGTAAGCTTTCTTGAAACAATGAGATAGATGAGCACATCTCCAGCCAACCTGGACCAGGGAAAGGGAGTGCTAGATCCCAGTGGGCCCACAGGGAGTTCCTCCTGTGAGCCCCTCATGCCAAGGGCCAGATTTTCATGTGGCTGCCACTGTCCGGGGGCTACTTAGAGTCATCTGGACTTTCTTCTTTGCTCTGGAAACCATCCTGGCCTAGCGACCCAATTTCTGCTCACTCCAACCTCCTAAAAGATAGCTCACCAAAACAGCTGTTGAGAATCCCGAAAAACTCCAGGCTGCAGCCCAAGGATGTTGCCTCATCTCTGACCCCTTGCCTCTCTAACCTGAACTCTGCCCCACAGCCATTTCCAGATATGATCCTTGTGTCTTCTAGGTTGCCCCAGCCTGTGTGGCAGTGCTCACTGAGGTCTTACTCTGGTTTCCATCTGGTGGCTCCTTATGCCCGTCCTCATCTCAATCTTAGCAGCAATGAGCAGCTACCACATATCAATCACCCACTCCCGACATGTCCTCCATTATCTTGTGGAAAGCCTCTGAAGTTGGAAATATTGGTCCTGCTTGAGACGAAGAACAGATGGCACTTAGAGAAAGCTCACTAGATGGAGAGCAACAAGCTAATGGCAAAAACACTACAAATAAGCACCTTCTTTTTATGTTCTTCTTTGTGTTTTTTTTTCTTTTTTGAGGGTCTTGTGCAGCCCAGGTTGTCCTTGAACTCTCTGCATAGGCCAAGTTGACCATGAACTCCGGATCCTCCCAAGTGTTGTGATTACAGTCATATACTACACCCAGCTTGCTCAGAACGTGTAGAAGGAACTGCAGAACATTCTTAACTCTGTTTTGTTACAAACATGTCCCAGTGAGCTTGAGCAACCCACCCCCATCTTCACCAGCGGTCATCTGAATCACCATCATGTTCACCCTATTTCTTCCTGGCCTAGGGTCTTTCTCATGTGCTTTCAGACAGCCATCTGATCACAGACCTCTTGGATGCTGCCTACATGGCCTTGGCTCCCTGCACAGACAGCCAGGATAGCCCTACTCCCAAAGGCCAGGTGACCTAGGATGATACAGATACTTGAAGTGGATCAGCTATCGGTAACAAGAATAAGACAGGCCATGATGAGAGAATTTCCAGCATCCAAAGGGCACAGGGGTAAGCCCTGACATGGCTTCCCTAGCTCTGGACTTACTATGGCACTTCTGGATGGAAGTTAGACCCACATATAAGGTCCCAGTCCAGAAGCTTTCTAGCTCCTCAGGTAGATAGTGTGTGAGAGAGTGTCATTTTCTAGACAGTCTTCTCATTTACTGCTGCTAATTATCAAAGCCATTGCCAAGCCCCCCTTCCCCTACCCAGTTCATCTGGGAAGAACTTGTCTCCAATTGTCATGGATCTAGCCTAACCAGACAAGGTAACACTGTAGGTTCTAATACGAGCCCATGATTGTGGGTGTTCACACTCTTGCTAACTTCACAGTCCATGACGAAGGACCAGGTCTGAGTTACCTTCACTATACTCGTGATGCCTGACATTATCCCTTATATAACACTCCCCTTCCTCTTCTTATTTGGACCCTCTCCATAGTCTCCACCTGCTCCTGTGTCGCTAATGTCCCTAGTGCATCACGCCACACCTCTCTCTCACTCTGTTGGCTGAAAGTAGCCATCAGACGCCAACTAAGCATCTCCATCTCTGGGCTAAACATGCCTGCCTCCCCAGTATCCTTGCCGGCTCTAGGGATTTCTTCTCCTCTCTCCACTGGCTTCAATTATCACCTCTGCAGCAGGGTCCCCAGAGGATGGCTCTGTGTCTAGCTCCCTCTAGACATTGTCTCGTAGTGATGTCGCCAGTCCCCTGGGATGGATTGTTAAGGGTGATCTGATGAGAACATGGTTCTGGAACGTGACAGGAGGAAAGATACCCTGAGAAGAAAACTTCTGTAGATTGATGACAGATTCGTTTAGAAAGTAGGGAAGAAAGAACGGCTCCAGATGGGCCTGCATTTGGGTTCACATCAGAGTCTGAGCCATCAGATGGAGAGCAGGAGAAGATGGTGCCTGGAAAAGACCCAGGCCTTGTCTCAGCATGATAGAAGGCAGAGGTGGGAAAGCAGATGAGAGGCAGGGAAGCAGAAGGCATGCCGCACTCAAGGGACTGACAGCATCCTCACAGAACTACATCTAGCAGCAGCTCTAGGAACCATCCTCTGGGGACCCCTCTACAAAGGTGATAACTGAGGCCAGTGGAGACAGAGAGGAGATTCTCAGAGTGGGGTGTGATGCTAGGGAGGTGGGCATGTGTAGCCTGGGGATGAAGATGCTCAGATGGTCTCTGACAGCCACTCTCAGTTACCAGAGGGGCTTGTCATGCAAGTGAAGGACGCAGCATGATGCGGTAGGTCCACCAGCGTGACGAGGGGTTGGAGAGAGCACCTGTCTGGGATATAGATGCTCATCAGCCCAGAAGGAAGAACCAGGACCCAAGATATACAGCCAAAGGGATACAGTTGGTGGTCCAGCAGCAAACGTTTTCTTCTAAATATAGGACAGAATAACAGAGACATGGAGTTGCTGTCACCAAGAATCTTCTACCCGGGAGAGAAGTGCTGACCCTAGTAAATCTGCACCCTGACTCTGGTTATCTATCACCCTCCATTAACAATCAGTAGCACAGGCAACAAGGAGGCCCAAAGCGGGGAATGCATGGATCTCCCTGGGCGGGGATATAGAAGAGGTCTCCTGTGTGGACAGGGGCGAGTAGAGATGGGACCTTGAGGGATCAGGTTGGGGAGATGGGGGGGGGGAGAGTACTGAAAGGAATGGCTGGAAAGGGGGACGCTTTTCAGAGTCAGGTAAAAACCTGACGCCTGACGCAAGGGAAACTCCCATGAGTCTACAAGGATGACCCCCCCCCAGCTAAGACTCCTAGAAATAGTGACTATGTAGCCTGAACTGGCCATCTCCTGTGATCAGATTAGACACTACTCCAATTGTCATCAGAGAGCCTTCATCCAGTAACTGATGGAAACGGATACAGAGAACCACAGCCAAACATTACACCAAACTCAAAGACTCCTGCTGAAGAGAGGGAGGGAGGGAGGATTGTAGGAGCTACGGTGTTCAATAGATGTCACGAGCAAACCCACAAAAACAACTAAGCTGGTTCATGGGAACACAGAGGTCTGAACCAATAACCAGGGAGCCTGTGTGGGACTGACCGAGGCTCTCTACATATATGTGACTGGTGTAGCTTGGTCTATTTGTGGACTCCTAACAATGGGAGCAGGGCTGTCCCTAACACTTTGGCTGGTTCTTGGAAACCTGTTCCTCATACTGGACTGTTTTGCCCAGCCTTAATAGAAGGGGCGGTGCTTAGTCTTATGGCAACTTTATATCCCTATGGGAGGCCTGCCCCTTTCTGAACAGAAACAGAAGAGGAGTGGATGGAGGGGGTATAGAGAGTAGGGGGAAAGATAGGAGGAGAGGAGGGAGGGGAAACTTTGGTCAGGATGTAAAATAACTAAATAAATGAAAAAAAAAAACAATCAGTAACAGCTTGTCACCAACTGTCATTTCCTTCTTTGTGTATTGGTCCATAATCTCTCTCTCCTTCCCCTATCCCTGTATTCCTATCTATTGCCATGAAAACATCATGGACACACGTGGTAGTCCTAATTCCCAGGTGATGACATTCAGATGCTCACAGTGTCTGGAGCAAGAATCCCGGAGAAGCTACCTGGGTCTCACAGGCCGCTCTGGAGATTCGGACTGGGGCCATTGTGCTCCCAACATGCCAGGTGCTTCATTGGAGCAAGGGAGAGTCAAAGGAAGCCATTAAGAGGGGAAGGTATACCCCCATGTCACCTCCTCAGGAGAGGCACCCCTCACTCTGTGCCTAGTGAGTCACGAAAGCAGAGAGTTACATGAGATTGTGGTCCCAATACACCCATGGCTCTCCACAGTCCATGCTACAGCATCTGCACACTCTATACCCAGCATCCCCAAGTTCAAGCTCTTCCGTGGCTCTTACAAGCCCTGCAAACAGGGCTGCTGTGAGTTCATGATGTCTCCCTCGCTTTCCCACTCTAGGGCCTGCTGCAGAAGATGTCTGATACACATATTTAAGGAAAACAGATAAGCTATAAGATCCTTGTATCCTAAAATTTGTGTTTGGCCTCTTTATTTTTATTTTTAACTGAGAAATAATCAAATATACTTCTGGGGTAAATGCCACGTTTTAATGCATGCACATATCATGGGATTATTAAATCAAGATAATTATCCATTACCTCACAGCCTCAACACTTTTGGGGCAGTGAAAACATTTCAAATCCTCCTTATCATTTAAAGACATTCTATTTTTGTTTTTAAGTATCTGTATGTGTGGATGGCTGTGTGTGAGTACATGCAGGTGAGCGTGGTGCCCACGGAGGCCAGAAGAAGGGGTTGGGACCCCCAGAGCTGGAGTTCCAGGCAGCTGTGTGCCACCCTGTGTGAGGGCTGGGTACTGAACTATGATCCTCTGTGAGAGTCGTAAATACTCCAAACAGCCGAGCCGTTTATCTCTGCAGCCTGCTTCTTAGAGAGGCTGTGAAGCACATAGGTTATCACAGGCTTGTTGAACGAATGTCCTTCAGTCAATGCTGATGCAATCTCTAAGCATTTGGGTGGCTCAGTGACTTTGTGAGTGCCCCTAAAACAAGAGCATTTGAGCAACTTACCCTTGATCCCATTTCCCAACCATATGTCCAGGGCCATTTTGGAGAAGCTTGAATATCTCCGGAATCCCCCTGGAAGATCTGTCTATGCAGGAGAGAATGCTGCCCCTGGAGAAAGAAATAGATGGTAGACCTTTATCTTCTCCTAGGCTGTGTGGCAGGGGCTCCAGAGAGCACAAAATTTAAATTTGCATAATCGTTTCCCCTTGACTGGCTCCCCCTACCCCGCTAAGGCTGATGTCCTGGAAATGCATTTCCTACTGACAAGAACATTGTCAGCGTTGATCAGATCTGTGCACTGTAGCATGCTGATTGGCAGGCCTATTAAAAAACAAAGAGCGCTCAAAATGAGCAAAATTGGGGAGCAAAAAGAGGAAGCTGAAAGAACATAAATTCCTCCCACCCTACCCCAGGCTTTTAATTGTGAAGCAGAGCCTCTGGATAAATTATATGGGACAGATAAACAACTTGATCTGTGTTTATTAGAGGAACAGCAAGTGACTCGGGCATTCAGGGATAAGCTCACTGAGATCACTGTATTTATTTCACCCTAAAACGCCTGACTGGTTTCTTCTAAGCCTGATAAACTCATTATGTTAAGTTTCAGCCTCCATAGAATGAAGGTTTTTCTATATGTTAATTTATTTTAGTAAATAATGATTCTCTTTGGGTGAGGGAATACATGTCTCTATAATTTAATAATTGGGAGGCTATTAGCTTGTGATTAATAGGAGTCATAAATGAATACTGATAGTTTAAAATTACTTTTTTTCACTCTGAATTAGTGTCATAAAAAGGGCTGGTAGGGAAGCAGGAAGGTTTTCTCTAGATCTCCCAACTCTGGACTAGAACATATCCTTTCTTTTCAGTGTGAGAGCGGACACAGACAGCTAGAGTGTTTCTCTTCAGAGATGTGTGTGTGTGGTGTGTGTGTGTGTGTGTATGTGTGTGTGTGTGTGTGCACATGCACACCTGCATGTGGTGCTAAGACACAGGAGAACTAAGGAGAAACACAGAGTGACCAGTCTTGGGCCAGGGATTCTCCCCCAAAGCCCATCAGACCTTGTCTCCACAATGGGGACCTCGACCTCCTCTGCCCACAGCAGCTAGAAGGCTCTGAGGAGGAGACAGCGAGTGGTAAACACTCATGCGCCTTGGGTGGGGGATGTCAGTGCTCCTGTAATAGAGAGCAGTATGGGCAGCCCTCAGGAGACTGAAAAATAAACTGGTCACATGACTCTGGTACCCAACCACTGTGCAGCCGAAGGAATTGGAAGCGGTGTGTAGGAGACACCTACACTCCCATGTTTGCCCCAGCGCTAGTCATAACAGCCATGGTATGAAATCCGGTGAGTAAAACACCGTGAGGACCTGAGTTTGGGTTCCCAACACCCGCTTAAAGGCCCTCATCTGAGATCCCAGAGCTGTGGCAGGGTGGGGACGCACAGAGACAATGAGCAAAATGGAGGGGCAAAGGTTTATTTGGCTAACACATCCAGGTCACAGTCCTTCAGTGAGGGAAGGCAGGGCAGGAACTAGCAGGAAGGCAAGCAGAAACCACAGAGGAGCCTGCTTCTGGGCTCTCATGTTTGGCTCAGCCTGCTTCCTTAGATACCCCAAAAGCACCTGTCCAGGGATGGCCCCTCCCACATCAATCGGCAGTCGTGAAAATGCCTCAGGGAGCCCCCTGGTCTGCTGAGAAACAAGAGCACCGCATCACAATACTAAGAGCGACAGTCATGGCTGGACCAGCAGCAGGCAGACAGAGCCTCCACGTGTGCACTAGGGATGACTCCCTGCAGGAAGTATCTTCATGGGGACTCTCCCTGCAGTCTCGGTCTTTTTTGTTTACTAGTAGATGCATTTACTTCTGCACTTGGATTTGGTTGTCTCCACACACAGACACGCCATTATTAACCATGTCTGCTTCGCTGCTAAACTCAACAGAGAAACAGGGCACAAAGGCAACATTAATTCCACAGCCCCTCCTCCCCAGACAGACCCAGGCCCTGAAACGGGCTCCAGCGACAGCACAGACCTCGGGATGCCATTCTTACTGAACTGGTAGTGACACGAGGCCATGAAATTCATTTCAAACTCTGAAAGGATAGGACCAGAATCCTCTACAGCTAAATAGCCAAGACCGAGGGAAAACAGAAACTGAAGTCTCAATATCACGCCTGTGACCTGCATGGGAAAAGCGGTGGGGCCTTGAAGCTCCATGTGTCTAATAGCCAAGAGTCATGCTGCAAGAAAGAGGCCACAGCGAACTTGCTGTGCTCAGGATGAAAGAGCCAGGGAGGAGTGTTGTATGAGATTTTGTGTGTGTTCTGACAAATAAAGCTTGCCTGGAGATCAGAGAGCCAAACTAACACTAGTTAACCATAGAGGCCAAACATTGGTGTCACACACACACACCTATAATCCCACCCAGCACTTGGGAGGAAGAAGCAGGAAGATATGGAGTTCAAAGTCACTCTGGGATACATGAGAAACAGTACCCCATGGTGGTGGCTCACACCTTTGATCCCAGCACTTGGGATCTCATGCCTTTGATCCCAGGACTTGGGAGGCACATGCCTTTAATCCCAGCACCAGGGAGGTGGAGACAGAATCTAAGGACCATTCAGTCTGAGGATTCATAGAGACCGGAGTCCCTATTTGGTCTGAGATTTAGTAGTGGTAAGAGGTTTCTGGTGGCTGGCTGCTCTGGCTGCTCTGCTTCACTGATCTTTGAACTTCTACCCTAATATCTAACGCCAGGATTTTATTGATTAAGACTAATTAGACTCATGCTTCAGAGGGGTTTTAAATCTTTTTGTCCAGCCGTGCCTGGGTGGCAGGCAGCGCACTCACCAGCCAGTTGCCCAGGTGGCTGTGAATAAAAAGAATTCAGATTTGCACAACTCTCCTACAGAAGACTTGTTTACTATGGCTTCGGAAAAAGTCAGAAAGAAGGGTAGGCCCACGTGGGCTCTGTCCACACGCTCAGGCCAGAGCAGCCTCCTCTGGAAACATGATGGAAGTGACTCAGGCAGTTACTTCATGAGAAGGGAGAGGGGACAGTCGGAAGAGGCAGTGCATAGCCGAGCCTGGCGGTGCACACCTGCAATCTCATCTAATTGAGAGGGTCAGGAAGGAGGATAGCAATTCAGTGCCCATTTGGGCTACAGAGTATGTTCAAGAGCAGCCTGGGAAACTCAGCAAAGCCCTGCCTCAAAAAAAGGAAGTAAAAATAATGGGGAGGGAAGCAGAAGATAGGCTCAATGGTGGAGCATGTGTGGGCACTGCCCCTCCAAAACCTGGTTCAATGAAAAGTGGTGAGTACAATGTTGCAATGTAGTAATGTCCTCTGTGTACACTGTAGCACTGTCTGCGCCCTAGCACCCATATCAAGATGAAGCCAATTGCTCCTACAAAGTAAGTTCCGTTCCCCAACCCACAATGATCGTAGACTTCCTGCAGACAGGAGGTGGAGAACCCAAACCAAGCCCCTCCTACCCCACGGGAAGAACACTATCTGTCCAAATGGTCATTCTCTCAGAAGCCCCAGGATCTCAGAAAAATGCCCTTGGCCTCCAAGCTGCTGTTTCCTTCTCTATACTGTGGGGACATTCCAGTTGTCCTTTATGTCATTGCTGCATGTCATGTACAGTTTAAAAATTTCTTGGGTGTGAATCTTGCTGGCACTTAGTAACCATGGGATGCTGCAGAATACTTAGAAGGCCTGTAACAGATGTGAGAATGTCGTGGATGATGCCACAGTTGCTTCTAGCTTGTGGTTGTTGTCTTTTTTTTTTTCAAGACAGAGTCTCTCTGCATAGCCCTGGCTGTCCTGAAACTCGCTCTGTAGGTGAGGTTGGCCTCAAACCCACAGCAATCTGCCTGCCTTTGCCTCCCAAGTACTGGGATTAAAGGCATACACCAGCACTGCCCAGCTATTGCTTCTATTTTGAACAGGTAAAGATAAGGTCCCAAGAGTCCAACAAACTGCAAACAGCACTAGAACTCCTATCTGCTCTTCTGAGTTTTGTCTGCTAAGCCATACTCCCCACGGAGAAGAGCACTGAGTGAGCAGAACAGCAGCCATTGGGCTGTCGTGGAGATGCTGGGAAGACGCACAAAGCCAGTACACTCTGCCAAGCTTTGTTCTCAGTTCTCTTCATCTACCGACTTGTTTTACCCACGTGGCAAGTGTTTGAGACAAGGAAATGAGGTTGCTGTCCTGATCTCTACAAAGGAGGACACTGAAAGCTGCCCGAGCCCACATATCCAGTGAGCAGTTGCTGTCTCCTGATGGGAAACGTCTGGTTGAGAATTGAGCTCTAACTTTTCTGAGTCAACGGCTCAGAAAACAGAGCTGGCTCTGTTTCCCCAGGGAAGAGGTGTAGAGGAAGCTTGGCCTTTGCTTACACATACCGTGGTTTCCGTTGGTTTGAAGCAAACCCTGTGATCTATTCTGTGTCGTCCAATAGCGCTTTGGTCCTTTCTTCCTCTTCGAAAGTGTCACCAAATTTTGTCCTGGAAACAAGAAGACACATGATGCTAGTTACCTTTCTGCTGTTATGATGAAACACCAGAACCGAAGCAACTTACAGAGGGAAGGTTTTCTTTAGCTCACTGTCCTAGAGGGGTGTGAATGAATCGTGGTGGGGCAGCAAGCTGTAGGCATGGCAGCAGGGGCAAGGAGCCGAGAGCTCACAGCTTCAACCATAGCATGAAGCCGAGAAAGCAAACTGGAAGTAGGGCAAGGATTTTTATAATCTTAACGTCTACCCCCACGATGTCCTGGAAATGCGGCATCTCCTAAGCACCTTTGAAGAGCATGTGTTGAAATGCCTGAGTTTAAGGGGAACATTCTCATTCAAACTACCACACGCATCCACCCTTACCTGGAGTCATGAAACTCTTGACAGAGTGAGATAGCCCTTTTGTATACCCAATTAGAAGGGACTCTTTCAAATTCTGATGGCTGACGCTGACAGGCATGGAGTAGATCTAATGTGCTTATACAGTCATTCCCAGTGCACTTCTGTGGGGAAGCAATTGGCCCCATGTTGTCAGTTTTCTTTATCCCAGGTCTCTGTTTTCTATGAAGTCACCAACTGTAATTCAGAACCACTGTTGAAGTGCAGGGTTAGGATCTTTTCATCTTCTCAGCCTCTGATGATATTTTCACCTGTCAGTCGATAACCAACCCTGTTGGATGCGTTTCTGTTCAAGACACCTTATTCCACGTACTTACTCATTAACGTCGATTCTCCACCAACAGACAGCCTTGTAGTGCAGAGCTGAGCAGAACCTGTCAAACACGACGCTCGTCGGTAAAGCCACCACCCTGCAGCTTGCTGCGCTTAGGAACACTGGAGAGCATGCAGCCTGCTTGGGAATGTTTCAAGCGGCAGAATCATGAATGCGCACGCATGGAAAACATCCAAACAGCACCGCGCTAAGTCGCTCACACAAAAGGCACTTGTTTGTGACAAGGGACACACAAAGGAAGCCGCGGCCTGGCTTCCCTCACCCCACCCCCACCCCGGGAATGCTCCTGAAGAGTGGCTCAAGGTTTCCCCTGCTGTACACTTGTCTAAAACTGATCAGCAAGCACAATGCACTTTGATTTATGGGTTACAAATTCACTCTAGCAAGTGAGGCAACGCCCAGATTCGGAAGCGATGGCAAACAAGGGTCCACTGCGTATGTGTAGGGCCCTCGACAGTCACTCACGTTGAAAAGACGGGGTTGGTTTCATAAGACTGAAGGAATTCTGGTTTTGCTGGAAACGACACATCCAAGCCTGACAGTCTCAGAGCCACTGTACATCTCACGCTAAGCACTGTGGGAATGTACATCTCACGCTAAGCACTGTGGGAAGGAAAGTTAAAGGCCCCATACTCAGGCTTGGGTGGAAATCACCCCTGAGCCTCAGCTCCAGGACCCTGCCAGCCACTTGAGAGTCAGTACTACCAAATCCAAGCCATTCTCAAGTGTCTGCTGAGCCCTGGCTCTGGAGACAGCGGGGGAGATGGAGGCCCCTGTGTTCTGTGTCCTCTCTGCCACTCTTCCCCCTGTCTGACTAGCTCTGCCGTGCTGACCTCCTGGCTGTTCCCTGAAACACACAAGCGAGGATGATCCCACGTCTGGGCATTCACACCTCCTGTCTGCTCTGCTGAGAGCATGTATAGAATGTAGGTGCCTTCCTCTCCGCCCCACCCCCACTCACACCTCCCTCTTCCCTGCTTTGTCTCCATAGCAGTGATGATTACCTGTTATAGTATCACTTTGTTCATTTATCATCTTCCCTGTGCAAATGGGGGAGGGAGTTTTGTGTTGTTTCCCTTAGCCCTAGAAGAAAACCTAGCACACAGTAGGCTCTCAATAATTATTGATCAATCAAATGAATGAAGCTTAAAAACTCAAAGTAATAAAGGAGAACTGATTTTCCGCACAGCTCCTGTGTCCGGTGCTCTCACTTCAGTGAATTCTCAAAGCTCCTAACAGGTGGTACTGCCAAGCCCATTGCAGGTGAGGAGACCAGGGAACAGGGTGGTATGCTGTGCAACTTAGGGTCAAGCACCTATAAGGAGACTGAACTTCAGCCCGCCCACCCAGCCTTTTCTTGCTCGAAAGCCCTGAGCCCCGTTCTTTTTTTTTTTTAAATTTATTTATTTATTAAGGATTTCTGCCTCGTCCCCACAACCGCTTCCCATTTCCCTCCCCCTCCCCTGATCAAGTCCCCCTCCCTCATCTGCTCGAAGAGCAATCAGGGTTCCCTGACCTGTGGGAAGCCCAAGGACTGCCCACCTCTATCCAGGTCTCTTTATCGTGGTAAACCTATAGAGCATTCTCTTTCTCTTCCTCTTCACCCCTCTTCTCCTACTCCTCTTCTGGCAATTGAGATTGGTGAAAGAAAAAAATAAAGAAGAGGAACATTCCAGAATGAGATGCAAGCTCAGTTGTTACAACAACCTCAAACAGGAGTCTTTATGACTGTCCCAATCAGGTGGGAGCTACTCGGGGCACAGGCCTTGTGGCATAGCTCTACCCTAAATCTAAAGCAACAAACTGGCCTGGGTCATCTGGGATTGAAGCTGATGAGCCATGAGAAAAGTTTGGGAGAGCTTGAAATCTCTTTATCCGACTCTTACTGCTGTAGGAGACAGATAGGTCTCCTCTCTTCATTTTGAAGCAAGAAAATGTGCTTTTCCTTGGTCTAGAGTGTGGCTTCCTGGGTACCTCATGGAATGACTCCTAGTCAGCTATGGGGTTTTCTCCTATAGTGACCCCCCAAAGCAGCCTATGAAATGACACCACCAGCCTGTTACCACCATGTCACTCATCTCTAATAGACACGGAAACTCTGTGTGTGTGCGTGCATGCGTGCTTGTGCGTGCGCATATGCTCACTCATATGCATGCACATGCGTGCATATCCACATGAGCATCGTCAGCAACTGCAGGGCCTCTCCCTTGCTAGGCAAGCTCTCTGCAGCTGAGCTGCATCCCAGGTAAAGATACTTCTGTTGGGTTTTACTTGTGGACTTTCTTCCCCCACTCATTGTGTCTCCTCTTCTAACATCTGGGACCACATTGACTTTCTGCAGGACTGGGTGGAAGATTGCTGGAGAAAGCTGAGGAGTAAGGCGGGGGGGGGGGGGGGGGGGGGGGGCAACTGGCCTGAGACCAGCACAGCAAAAGGGCGCTTGCTGGATGCCAAACCCATTCAACCCCTCAGCAGATGTGGTGGGCACCACTACCCCTACTCAGTCGCTGAGCTGGTGGCTGGGTAGATGGAGAGCGATCCTCCCCACCTGTGGGTCCCAGGGCTCAACTGCAGACATGCTTGGTCCCCTTTCCTGCCTCCCAGCCCTTTCTTGGCACCTGCACCCTTTCCTGCACAAACATTCTCACGTGGCTCTGCTGCCCTGTGAGCGGGAGGACACCTGCTCCTAAGATTGCCAGGGAGATGTGGAGGAGCGGGTCATGGAAGGGGCCGATGGGCATGCTGGGTTATGCAGAGAAATGAACCCACTGCTTATGAAAGGGAGCAATGGGCACGCTGGGTTATGCTATGCAGAGAATTCGACCTGGGGATCGTCTGAAACCAGAAGGGATCTGAGTCTTTTGCTTTGTTTTTTTCTCTTGCCTATTTCCTCCAGTTCTGGTAACCCTGAGTTTAAGATAAAAAAACTGGGCTGCTGAGAACAACAAACAAACAAAACCCAAATCTGCCCCAAAGCACAGAGAGGGAGACCCCAAAACATAACCAGAGGGTGTGGACAAGTCCCACCAGCTGTCGAGTAGTGCAGTTAAAGCTTGTGTGTCTGTACACCTGCCCCTTGCTGTTCTATTCTTTTTTCAAAGGCCCCGTGCTGCTGCGCCTAAGCCAATCCCACCACGGTGACTAGTACCACACCCTGAACACCCTCTGATGCCCTGGCCTCCAGCAACAGAGGGCTTGCCACATATTTAGTCGCTTTAGCACTTGTTTATAAAAAATACTAATTTGCAAGGCTAGAGCCACGGCTCAGTGCTTGAGAGCGCTGGCTGCCCTTTCAGAGGGCCCAGGTGTGATTCCCAGCTCCCACATGGTGGCTCACAACAGTGTAACTCCAGTTCCAGGGTGTCCGTTTTCTACCATCTGTGGCCACCAGACGTGCATATGGTGCGTAGACATACATGCAGGCAGGCAAACACCCAGGCAAAATAAAGTGCTAAAGTGCACTTTTTTCCCCCTAATGTCGACAAGTGTATATATATATATATATATATATATAAATTAAAGCCATCTGGAGGAGTTCTGCACTGAGCGATATCTAACATCTTTGTGTATATCCTTCCAGATCTTTCCCTGACAGCATTAGCTCTTCACAAGCATTTGCTAATACCATTGACTGGAGGTGCTAACGTATTTAAGAGGCAAACTTCCTTGGCCATGCCTTTCACTTACCAGGAAGCCGCAACACAACCAGATTAAATGTGACCACTCTTTAGAAAAGCATGGAACAATTAATGGCAAATAAATGGAATTAAAATCAAATTGAATGCAGCCTTTCAATATGTCTTAGAATTTGATTTTAAGCCCAGTAATGGATATGAAATGAAAGCTTTGGCCTGCGTACTCTTGAGCCTCCTGGAACCCTGGGTGCCACCTACTGGCCACAACGTGCAATGACATGCCATCTTCTCATTCCAGTCTGCCCCTTCTCTCCACCTCCCCCAATGGATTTGTATATTCTCCCTGGAGCTTTCCAAACCCTCCTATTTCCCCTGCATTTCACAGTTCCTCGAACACAGGAGTGCATTAATAACGGTTATCTGAATGAAAACAAGGTGTGTGTATATATGGATGAGTGGATGGATGGATGGATGTTGATGGATGGACGGACAGACAGCATTGTTCCTCAGGAAAAATAAGGGACAAATTCTTGCCCTCCTTGCTTTACGGTTTTCCAGGATGAATGAATATTTATCACTGGTAGAGACCTTATGACATAATATTAAGGCGAACAATGTGCGTATGTACCAGAGTCAAATGGCCAGGACAAGCAGGAGGCTACCCAGAGGTCTATGCTAAACATAAGAAACACAGACAAATGTGCAGACTTCCCAGCCATGTTTTCAGCAGGCACCTGGGTCCTCTGCTCTTCCCCACTTCAGCCCAGCTCGCTCAGAGGGAAAGTGATGTGCAGTTCTGAAAAGACAAAGTCACTGTACTCCGGGATGTGAGCTGGCCCATCATGTGCCCCACCCCCGAGTTAGGAAAAGTGTTCTTTGAACCATGACTGTCAGCCAGGCTAGTGGTGAGGTGCCCATCTGAGCGTGTCCACCGTCGACACGCCTGACAAGTGTCACACCAGCTTGGCTTTAGACGCTGCCAGCAGGAGCTGTGGGCTGCACAAAGGCGGCAAGCCTGTGCTAGAGGGGTGCTGACGGGGGGGGGGGGGCAGAAGGCTGGGTTCGCTGCCCGGGTGACCTTGGACAAGTCAACTTGCCCTTGACCATACACAAACCATCTCATGAGGATGCTGGGACAAGAAAATGACCATGAAAATCCTTTGTGAAATAAAGCTTGGGATTCGGGAGAAGATATAGCTACCAGTTCCCCAAGCAGACATCATGCTGGAGCATGACCTGACCCCCACGCAACGGCTACAGGGAGGTCCCGTCATGGGCAAGCATCTGCTTTCTTATGGGATCCAGCCTTGTTCTGTGGCTGTGTGGAGAATTCAACCATGGCCCACACTGGCCTTCCCCGTGTGCTTTTTCAACAGGCTTACCCCTTCATGTTTCATCTGCTCTTTGGTTTGTGTTTAGCTTAAATGTAGACTTTAGGTTACATTTACACTAGATTTTGTTTTGTTTTCCATCTATATATTTTTCCCTTTTGTTTTTTGATGAGGCAGTTTCATTATGTTACACTGTAGACCAGGCCGACCTTGAACTTTTGTCCAACTGCCTCTGTCTCCCTGGTGTTAGAATACACACCCAGCTATCAGAACATTGAAAGCTTCTTTGTCTGGTCCATGTGTAGCCTTACCCAGCAGATGTGGTGAGGTACAAGCAACTCAACAGCATCCAACTCACCGAGGATGTATTCCCTATCCTAAATCTACCACCCCCTGGACTAGATGCTGTGTGAGAAGTCAGGAGATGCCAATGGCGTGTCTATCTGAAAGGATGGTGAGGACCTTGACAGAGGCATGCCCTGACTGCTAATAGGAGAGCGGGCTGCACACAGCAGGCACGCAGGCTTTCCAGCTCAGGAGACGTGGCAGAGGCGAAAATCAAGCTTTGCAATCTTGTATATGTGAGCACACAATTTGTGTGCATGCAACTGCATATGCATAGTGGGCCAGAGGCTCCTTGATTATCCTTTCTCAGAGGTGGTCCACCTTGTCTTTCTAAGCCAGTGGCTCTCATTGGCACGGAACTTGTCAGGTAGGCTCTGCTGGCTGCTCAGCCAGCCCTGTGGATCTGTCCGTCTCCACCTACCCGACACTGGGATAGGAAACACTTGCTATCATGCCTGACTTTTTTGCAGGAGGTCTGCGGATCAAACTCTGGCCCTCGTGCCTGCAAGGTAAGTGCTTTACTGTTTGTCTCCCGGCCCCTGCACCCTTTCTTTCTAAGTACACCACTAGACTGCATTTTTCTGGACACAGTGGTTCTTAATGTTTCCCTTGCTGACCAGGTCTTTCTGGGCAGACAGAAAACAAAAACAAAAACCAAGTCCATAGCAGAGGGTGTCTCATATCTTCCCAGGCTCAAGAACTTCAGGAGCCAGCAGCTAGTTTGTTGATGTCATTAAAACAAAACAAAACTTTAATTAAAATATTACATCGTTTTTGCCTAACAAGTCCTCCCTGGCTAGGGCACATGGTCACCGAGAATGTAATGTCCCTACAATAGGCCAGGTTCTATAACAGGCTCCATGGCATTTTCTTAAAACCTGAGTTGAGAATCTCTTCCCCAGGGAGTGGTGCCTTCTCTATCTGACCCTCCACCCCGACCCTTGTATCTCAGCCAAGATCAAGGTTGGAGCCTCTGCGTCTTTCCACTCCTGGCTCAGTACTGGGCACTCCAAAGTCCTGACAAGGTGCTGAGTCCCAGAGGAGTCAGGGAAAACGTCGGCCGCTGGACTGTCCATTAGGTCACTGTGGTGACCCAAGCCTGGAGTTAAGAAGCATGGACCCCAACTCTGTCATTTCGGATAAACCCTTCTGAGCCTATTGCTAAAGGGTCCAATAAACAAGCAAACTGAGGAAGCTGCACCTCAGACTCACTTCAGCAGAATATTCTGATTCTTTCCTTGTGGACCGGCAGATCCTGAGGGCAGTTTCTACTTTCTTCTAACCTACCTTCAGAGTAACAACAAAAACTCCCAGAGGCAGGCAGGAAGGAGAGAGAACACAGCCTGCCTCCCTACCAATGATACATCTGATTGAGATGAAGAGGATGAAGAGCCTTAAACAGTTACTGAAGGATACAATTTCAGACTATCCTGGGACCCTCCTGCCCCATCACCTGGTTTCTTTCAGACCCTGACTAGTTTTGTCCAAACTTAAGCTCCCCGGTTATGGTCAGGCCCCGTTTGAATTATTCATGAGAATTATTCATGAGTATTATTCATGAGTGAATTATTCACTGGGGTAGAGCAAGTGCTCCTCTGCAGACGTGTTCATCCTCCAGCTTCTTCCGGAACTGCTAACGAAGGGAGCCGTTTGGAGAGGCAGGTCCCTTTGACATCCTTGTGTCCGTTTCTCCACAGTGCAGGAAGACAGTTCCTCCCTTATCTTTGACTCTGGAAGACCTCTAGCCGTGGGAGTGCAGATGCCTCCAACTGAGATTCTACATCACACACAGCTCACAACCGACAGCAAACCACACAGACAGTTAAAAAAAAAAAATGAAGGCTGCCATGTGATGATTAAGCTCAAAAGGAATTATGCAATTAGCAAAGGACGTTGATCATACAACATGTGAGTCTAATTGCAGTGCAGGCAAACGCTTGCTAAATTAGATAAAGACGGGGTTGCAGTCACTCTGGCGCGCAGATTGAGTTGTAAAGTTAAGGAAAATATAAAAGTTAATTATAAGACAGGAGCGATAAGCACAGGGTACACACATGCACTGGGCAGATTAGGATTATTAACCAAGCAATCATCTCACGCCAAAGGTGGAGAATTAGAGAAATCCCAAGCCCGCAGTCTGACTAGTGCATAATGAAGATAGCACATTTTCTAGGACGTGGAAAACATGCTTCCTTTTCACACAGCACCTGCCACCCAGGAGCGTCCGCACTTGCAAGCTGCCTATATTGGCTCACCAACTTGCTCACAAATAAAGCGCCTCTCTCGCTGCTCAGCACACTTGTTTTCTTCCCTTCTTACCCAAGTTCAGTTATGCAGCCATTCCGTGGTGGTCCTTAGTCCCACTCTGCACAAGTCCTTGATCTTGTCCATTTGTTACAATGTCCCAATTTGCCAAGTGCTTGTTGCTGTGAAGTAGCTGTTCCAAGTGCACGCCAATCAACCTGCCAGCCCCCTCCATGCAGAGGCAAAGAGCCCCGGGAAGGGTCAGGTGAGATGTTTAATCTTCACAGTCAACTTCACTAGGTTTGGAACCATCTAGAAGACACACCTCTGGGTGTGGTTTGTGACAGGAAAACTCACTCTGAATGTGGGCAGCACAGTCACAGACTGACGTCCTATGGAGAAGGAGAGAAAGCCAGCATTCCTCCTCTCTGCTCCCTAACTACACACAGCATGTGACTAGCTGCTCATGTCCCCTGCCATTCCTGCCTTGGACTATTCCCCCAAACTGTGAGCCAAAATAATGCCTTCCTCCCTTCAATTTTCTCTAGTCAAGCGCTTGGTTACAGTAACGAGAAAAGTAACAGAAGTGGCCACAGTGGATGCTAAGACCTGGACTGGAATCCCAAACCAATCATTAGCCCTTTATCTGCCACAGAGACACAGGGTCACCTACCTGTCAAGTGTAGTTTGACAAGGTGGTTGCAAGGCTTACAGAAGGGACGCCTTCTGCTAGGACTAAGGAACTGCCAGCCACAGTAAACACACGTCGTATTGTGATTGTTCCTCACTACTGTGTTTTCTCCAGTAATTAGTTCAACCACTTCAAAAGGACCCACCAGGTTCACTGCACTTTGCCAGTGATCAAACAGGTACTCACGCACTGCGGCACATGGGCGTGAGCACACATATACACACAAACCTGAAGTACACAAAATCTGGGGAACACATATACACTGGGACACGCTAACAGGACACACACTCTGGGACACACACACCGGGGCACACGCGTGTGTGTGCACACACACACACAAACCTAAAATACACAAAATCTGGGGAACACATATACACTGGGGCACATACATTCAGACTGGTAGGCACACACACACCGGTGCACACGCGCGTGTGTGCACTCATACACACAAACCTGAAATACACAAAAACCGGGGAACATATATACACTGGAACACACAAACAGGACACACACCCTGGGACATATACACACAGACTGGGACACACACTTCATATTCATTTTGAGACAAAGTAACTGGCATGCATAAATTCTGTAATGTATGCATAAACTCATACATTACATGCATACAAATCATTGCACTGATTGTTGGAAGCGGTCGCTGCACACTGCTCTCTAAAGCCAATGCCGACTCTCGCTTGCTGAGCTCCAGCTGAAGAAGAAAGGGGGTCAGTAAGGAGGTGCCCATACCACGGCTTGAACAAAGCAGATAGCCCGCAAATCCACTCGTGGTAAAGCACCCAGGAAACAACTGGCTACAAAAGCCGCTCACAAGAGTGCGCCCTCTCCTGGAGGCGTGAAGAAACCTCATCGTTACAGGCCTGGCACTGTGGCACTCCGTGAAATCAAACGCTATCAGAAATCCACTGAACTTGTGATTCACAAGCTCCTCTTCCAGCGTCTGGTGTGAGAAATTGCTCAGGATTTCAAAACAGATCTACGCTTCCAGAGTGCAGCTATTGGTACTTTGCAGGAGGCAAGTGAGGTCTATCGGACTGACCTTTTTGAAGATACCAACCTGTGTGCTATCCATGCCAAACGTTAACAATTATGCCAAAAGATACCCGGCTATCACGCCGCATACGTGGAGAACCGGCTTAAGAATCTACCATGAGGGGAAACATTTCATTCTCAAAAAATTCTTTTTCCCTCTTCTTCCTGTTATCAGTAGTTTCAGAGATTTTTTTTTCAGTGGGGTCAAAAGGTACCTAAGTATATGGTTGAGAGCAAAAAAGTAGGGGGCAGAAATCAGATGTTGAAACTTTTGTTATTTTCATTTGTGTGTGAATTTTTAATATAAATGCAATAAGTAAAGCCTCAATGCAAGCAAGATGTTTCCGTGAACACATTCCAACAGTTCAACACTAGAACAATTATAAACAAAGCTGTTACAATTTTCTGGACAAATCTACTAAAAAAAAAGTAGATTTCTTATGGATGGCAACTAAATGGTGACTGTAGCATTTCTTTCACCAGAAGATTCCATCGGTTCACTATACTCTTCTAAGTTGTCCTTCATGCAAGTACATGCTTTTAATGTTGTCCTGTGCTGTTCCTGTAAGTTTGCTATTAAAATACATTAAACTAAAAAAAGTAATAATAATTACACCGAAGCAGCTTGTGAGGTGCACCGCTTAAATACTACAAAATGGTGGAGGAAGATCATTCCAGGAAACGCAGCAAGAGGAAGCTTCCCTACAGCAGTGGTTCTCAGCCTTCCTAATGCAGCAACCCTTAACACAGTTCCTCAGGCTGTGGCCACCCCCAACCGTAAGACTATTTTCTTTGCTGCTTTAGAATTGCAATTTTACTGCTGTTATGAATTGTAATGCAAATACCAGACATGCAGGAGGGCTGATATGCGGCCCCTGTGAAAATGTCAGTCAACCACCAAAGGGGTCACGATCCACAGGCTGAGAATCAGTTGCTCTAAAGCCTGGCTGGGAGATTCCAAACAGAGAAGGAAGTAGGGTAGGCGGGCGTGTAACACCTTTTAGGAAAGGATACTTCATAAGCAAAGATTGCAGAGTTAAACAACAACAACAAAACCAAGACAACTTTAAATATAGGGATGGGCAAGCCTGGAAAAGAGCTCAGAGGACACAAGGACTGGGAAGGGAGAGCCCATGTCCAGACCTCATCCAATGCAGTGTGCTTGACCACATTAAAGGAAGATAGATCTAGCCAGCGTGGGCAGACAGGCTGCTGTACTTTGCAAATGTGTGCTGGTGAGGGATAAGAACGAAGACAGGATACGGGGACACAGAGACAAGCGGATGTGACTCAGTGACCAGATGGCTGCACAGAGCAAGAAAGACAGCCCAGCATAGTGATGTGTACCTATAAGTCCAGTATTCAGGAATCTAAGGAAGGAGGGGTGCTGTGAGTTTGAGGCCAGGCTGAGCTACCCAGAAGAAAACCACTGGACCTACAAGAAATTCTGTAGACACTTCCTGGGAGGAGGAAGGGGCAGTAAGGTCCTGTCTTTAAAAGGAGAAAAAAAGAGAGAGATGACTACGTGGTTTTGAACTTAGCTCTCTTTTCTTCCTACAGGAGGAGGTGGCTAGCTGCTCCCTCCCAGTTTCTAACCCCCCTCCAGCGCTTCCGTTGCTTCTGCAACATGGGGATTGAACCTCCACCTTCTTCGGAACACATGAGCCCCAAGGAGCCAGCCCCCTGGTGCTGGTGGGACCTGCCTGCGGCAGTGCCTGCCACAAGGGAGACTGCTCAGGAAACAGAAGAGAAAGCCTTAAAAACGCAGAATACCAAAAAAGTCTAACAGCTGAAGCTGTCCTGCTCACGTCCCTTCATGTCTTGATGACTCAGGAGCCTTTCCGGGATCCCGCCGCCCCTCAGCACTGTCATCCTGCTTAAGCCTTATGGAAGGGCTTCCTCAGGTCAGAGCGAAATAAACCAGAAATAAACCAGACGACTGTGTGGACCTGCAGGCAAAGCCTGGGGAGGTGGCAGCCACCCCTGTGGAATGAATACATTTGCGAATCTGGGGAGGGTCCTCCCTCTCCCTCTGGCAGAGCTTCCTCCCACAAGCCTTCTGCGATCTCTTGTGACCTAGTGTGTGTGTGCGGTGACAGTCCTGGGGTCTGCGGACCAGTCATCCGGTGACTGTGGACTTCAAAGGCCTGTTGACACAGCTGCACACCCCTGAGGCGGGGGGGGGGGGGGGGGGGGGGGCAGCCTGAGAGGTGGCTGCTGCCACTCCCTGAAAGCCCACCCAAGGGGACCAGGGCTCTACCCCAGCTCAAAGCACTCTGGCTTAGTCACCGGGAATGCCATGCCAGTGACCTACCTCACAGGACACTGGAATTTGTAGAGAGAAGAATCTCAATCAGATCCTTTTTTATTTCCTTCGTCATTGGAGACATCAGTTCCCAGCTGATGTCTCACTGCAGGCAATTATACCCATCTGAGCCAAACAACTGCCATTTAAAAAAAAAATGTCCTGACACCAGTGGGCATGCCAGACTGCCTCAACCCTGCACAAAGAAGTACGAACAACTGAGGAAAGCTGAGAGAGATATGGGCCTCCTCAGGAAAGGGCACAATTGGTTGCCTGCCAAATGGTCAGCCCTGAAACATGCATACAAGTAACATTAGATGTTACTTGTATGCATCAGGCTATACTTGGGAATATATAGGTATATACAAATACCAATATGCATGTAGCAACAACTGGTAGAAAAGAGAGCATTAATTTGAAGGACATCAAGGAGTAGCGATATGGGAAGGCTTGGAGAGAAGATATATAACGATAATCTCAAAAATAAGCCAACAAGAAATGTCATGAACACTCTGAGTCAGTTATCTAAGGCCCAGAAAGCTGTGCCCCTACAAAGAAGGGATGGGCCCCGGTCGTTAGGCTTCAAAGCCTAGCGAGTTCTGGTTTCCAAGGGAGCCTGACACCAGCGCAGAACTGAACAGGGTCCAGAGATTTTTTTTTTTTTCGGTTTTTCGAGACAGGGTTTCTCTGTGGTTTTGGAGCCTGTCCTGGAACTAGCTCTTGTAGACCAGGCTGGTCTCGAACTCACAGAGATCCGCCTGCCTCTGCCTCCCAAGTGCTGGGATTAAAGGTGTATACCACCACCGCCCGGCCAGGGTCCAGATATTTAAGTCATCAGGCCTCCTGATGTCACAGGGAGACAAGCTCAGCTGGAAGGGATCTAAGATCACGTGAATGGTAGCTTTCTGGATGGAACGAGTGAGCTAGGAAGGAGCTTGATCAGATCGCTACGGTCATTTTCTTACCATCAAATGGCAACTAAGACTTCTGTACGGTGGTTCACCCACGTGCCAGCTTGGCTCCCACACTACCAAGGAAGCCCCTTTCACGGAGGAGGGGGCTGGGTTGCAGAGTGATTGGATACTTCCTGATAGAGAGAAGAAGGGTCAGAGCGGGAGCTCTCTGGATTCTAAGCCATTTGGCGAGTAGTCACCGACTCAAACTCCCTGGCCAGGTTTGTGCTTCTAGCGCTATCTGTGTTCTGGGAGCAAGGGCAGAAGAAAA